TTGCTGACGATGTCGGTGGATATGCCAGACCACGGTCCGATGAATAAGACTCATGCATTGCCGTCAGATGTTGCCATCATTGGCGGACGGACTGCAGTAGCACCCTCTTCAAGTAGTACACCTCTTGTATAATTCCAATTGGCGAGACCTAGAAACCACTCTGACATCCAAAGACGTTCTCTGCCGAGATAATATGCCAACAGCCACGCTAAGCAAACGGACCAAGCCCCGGGAAACGAAGACTGAAGCAAGGCCAGCGTTTTCGGCACGGTACATATACATCTGTTAGCGTAGTGCGCCTCACGCGAGTCCGGATCATGCGATTCACACTTATTAGGACTAAACACATCTTGCTGACGATGTCGGTGGATATGAAAGACTTTGGTCCGATGAATAAGACTCATGCATTATCGTCAGATTTTGCCGTCATTGGCGGACGGACCGCAGTAGCACACTCTTCAGGTAGTACACCTCTTGTATAATTCCAATTGGCGAGACCTAGAAACCGCTCCTGACATCCAAAGACGTACTCTGCCAAGATAATATGCCAACAGCCACCCTAAGGAAACGGACCAAGCCCCGGGAAACGAAGGCTGAAGCAAGGCCAGCGTTTTTGGTACGGTACATATACGTCTGTTAGCGTAGCGCACCTCACACACGAGTCCGGACAATGCGATTCACACTTATTAGAACTAAACACGTCGTGCTGACAATGTCGATGGAAATGCAAGACATCGGTCCGATGAATAAGACTCATGCATTGCCGTGAGATGCCGCCATCATGTCGTGCACAGGGACTGTCGTAGCACCCTCTTAAAGTAGTGCACCTCTTGTACAATTCCAGTGAGCAAGGCCCGAAATCGCTCTGACATCCAGAGACATACTCTGCCGAGATGATATGCCAACAGCCACCCTAAGAAAACGGACCAAGCCCCGGGAAACGAAGACTGAAGCAAGGCCAGCGTTTTCAGTACGGTACATATACGTCTGTTAGCGTAGTGCACCTCATACACGAGTCCGGATCATGCGATTCACACTTATTAGGACCAAACACATCTTGCTGATGATGTCGGTGGATATGCAAGACTTCGGTCCGATGAATAAGACTCATGCATTGCCGTCAGATGTTGCCATCATTGGCGGACGGACTGCAGTAGCACCCTCTTCAAGTAGTACACCTCTTGTATAATTCCAATTGGCGAGACCTAGAAACCACTCTGACATCCAAAGACGTACTCTGCCGAGATAATATGCCAACAGCCACGCTAAGCAAACGGACCAAGCCCCGGGAAACGAAGACTGAAGCAAGGCCAGCGTTTTCGGTACGGTACATATACGTCTGTTAGCGTAGTGCACCTCACACACGAGTCCGGATCATGCGATTCACACTATTAGGACTAAACACATCTTGCTGACGATGGTATAAGGTACGCTGCGCTTACAAATATATATGTACCGTACCGAAAACGTTGGCCTCGCTTCGGTCTTCGGTTTCCGGAGCTTGGTCCGTTCCCTTAGAATTGCTGTTGACACGTTATTTCGGTACAGTGTGTCTTTGGATGACAAAGCCGTTTTTAGGTCTCGCCAACGAATTATGCAAGAGGCGCACTACTTTAAGAAGATGCTACTACAGTCTGTCCGCACATGATGGTGACATCCCACGACAGTGCATGAGTCTTATTCATTGAATCAAACCATTGCAGCTCAACCGACATTGTCGGCACAATGTGTTTATTTCTACTTAGTGTGAATCGCGTTGTAAGGGCTCTTGTTTCAGGTGCACCGCACGACTAAACGTATATGTACCGTACCTAAACCGTTGCCTTTGTTTCGGTCCTCGGTTCCCGGGGCTTGGCTTTGTTCCTCAGGGTTCGTGTCGGGATGTTATCTCGGCGGGGTGTGTCTTTGCCTTTCAGAGTGGTTTTTAGGTCTCGCCAATCGGAATTATACAAGAGGTGTACTACTTTAAGAGGGTGCTACTACAGCCTGTCCGCACATGATGGCAGCATCTCACGGCAATGCATCAGTCTTATTCATCGGACCGAAGTCTCGCAGTTCCACCGTCATTGTCAGCACGATGTGTTTAATTTCCATAAGTGTGAACCGCCTGATCCGGACTCGTGCATGAGGTGCACTGCGCTAATAGACGCATATGTGCCGTACCGAAAACGCTGGCCTAGCTTCAGTCTTCGGTTCCAAGGCTTGGTCCGTATCCTTAGGATTTTTATTGGCATATTATCTCGGTAGAGTATGTCTTTGGATGTCAGAGCGGTTTTTAGGTCCCGCCAATTGGAATTATACCAGAGGTGTACTACTTGAAGAGGGTGCTACTGCAATCCGTCCGCCAATGATGGCAACATCTGACGGCAATGCATGAGTCTTATTCGTCGGACCGTGGTCTGGCATATCCACCGACATCGTCAGCAAGATGTGTTTGGTCCTAATAAGTGTGAATCGCATGATCCGGACTCGTGTGTAAGGTGCACTACGCTAATAGACGCATATGTACCGTACCGAAACGCTGGCCTTGCTTCAGTCTTCTTTCCCGGGGCTTGATCCGTTTCCTTAGGGTAGCTGTTGGCATAATATCTCGGCAGAGTATGTCTCTGGATGTCAGAGCGATTTCAAGCCTTGCTCGTTGGAATTGTACAAGAGGTGCACTACTTTAAGAGGGTGCTACGACAGTCCCTCTGCACGACATGATGGTATCTCACGGCAATGCATGAGTCTTATTCATCGGACCGAAGTCTTGCAGTTCCATCGACATTGTCAGCACGACGTGTTCAGTTCTAAGGGTGTGAATCGCATTATCCGGACTCGTGTGTGAGGTGCACTACGCTAACAGACGTATATGTACCGTACCGAAAACGCTGGCCTTGCTTCAGTCTTCGTTTCCCGAGGCTTGATCCGTTTCCTTGGGGTGGCTGTTGGCATATTATCTCGGCAGAGTATGTCTCTGGATGTCAGAGCGATTTCAAGCCCTGCTCGTTGGAATTGTACAAGAGGTGCACTACTTTAAGAGGGTACTACGACAGTCCCTCTGCACGACATGATGGCAGCATGTCACGGCAACGGAGTAGTCATATTAATTGAATCCAAGTGTTGTAGTTTAAGCGACAATGTCGTCACGATGTGTTTGGTCCTAATAAGTGTGAATCACATTATCCGGACTCGTGTATGAGATGCACTGCGCTAATAGACGTCAATGTACCGCACCGAAAACGTTGGCTTGGCTTCGGTGTTTGGTTCCCGTGACTTGGTCCGTTTTTTAAGACTGCTGGAAATGCTTCAGTTCCGCCGACATTGTTGGGTTTTTCTCTGTGCTGTCTGTTTGGAAACATCAACTCGAGACACGAATGTGAAGAACTGGGATACTTTTCTTGATTGCTGGAAGGTACGTAATTTGGTGCTTATGTTGCCCTTTTAGTACATGCTATAAATCGTCGGCTGCGTGTTAAAAATCATATGACCTGCTTGTGGCCGAAATTATTATATTATCAGATGGTTATCTCTTGAAGATGATAGGCAATCATGCGAGCATTGTGAGTAGCAGTGGTCGAAACGACGTAGTGTATAATGTTAATTGCCTGCTCTTTATTTTTGGTGCTAAAGATGTCGTTTGGATTGTATGATTTCAAAGTTGGGCAATCCTGCTAACGCGAGCTGGTTGAGCCCGTGCCGCACTGCGCGTAAAACGCTCGCGGTGGAGATTTTTCTTCTTCTAAAAAAGGTGAAGTACTTGAAGAATACCGCACCGCCGACGCCTGCTGTCTGCATAGATCACGCGCCTAGCAAGGCTAAATTACGTGAGGATTTCTGTGCTGCTAGCCCCTCAAGGCCCTCAATAATAAGGGTAGTTTTAGCAGCATGGTGTCAACTTCACCTTCTTTCTCTTTTCCTTTACCATCTTGGACTTGGACCGTCTCGAGCAATAGCTAAAAACCCGTGGAAAAGCGGCAACACCAAACGAAGCTGAAATGGCCGTGAACAGAACTGCGTGCGCCAGGCATTTTTCTTTTTTTTTGTTTAGACAGCTGACGGCCGATAATTCGGACGAAATCCCTTCCTGACCGGATGATCCTCTCACGGGAAGGGATTTCCTCCGGCGCACGATTCGAATCAGCGGAACGGCGCGTGAGTGTATACATGGGCCGTATAGTTCGGATCGAGGACGGGTCCCGGCTCAATTCGAATCACAGCTGCCCATGTAAACAGGGTATCTAGCTCACTCCGGTTTATGACGCGTCCTGTTCATGAAAGACATATTTGCTTATTTCGTGTTTTGAATGAGGTGCACGCCCCCGCACTCGAAGCCTGCGTCATGGGTATTGGGGTTTTGTTTTCATGGTTGGTGGCTGCTGGCGTGGTTGGTTTCGGTCACGGAAACACTGCCAAAATTAACAAGTGCAAAGCGATCAGCTGACGGGACCACAGGTGTCCCCCCAGCTGATCGCTGTCCGCCAACGGTGCGGCGGGACCATATCCCCCCAAGTTATGGCGTCTAGGTCAGCACCAGTTCAGGGACTGGCCAGCTCGAAGGACAGCATGCATGGCGCACAGCTGTTAGCGCGGTGCATACGGATGGGCTCGTCTCTTAGAGTCATTGTACTCGTACCATTCTTTCAAAAAGTGATGTTTACAGTGGACTGTGTATAAGCCCAAAGAGGCGCGAGAGAGGAGAAACCACGAGTGGCGTGAGGGTTGGCGCAGGCCAGTCTATTTTCATATTATTTGAAATTATTTTGATAGGGTGCGTATGCCTGTCCGCTGTCTTGCTGTTTGACCCATGCGCAGGTTAACGGTTGGTCGCCCACAGATGCAACGTGGTTGGTTGGTTGGGTGTCTAGTTCATATTCATGGTTCATAGTCATTGGCTGGTGATTTCAAGCCGGTTTTAACCGGCACTCCCCGCGTTGCTGTCGTTGTTGGCTGTTTTGAACCCCCGAAGCTCCTAGCGAACGATGCACGGCCGACTGACCTTCGCGCGCCCTCTGTTTCAGCAACGAGTTCAACCGCACCGTCGCCGACGAGTATCTCAAGCACTTTGACTTCACGGGCGACTCGCTAGATGTCGCGCTGGGCAAGTTTCTGGACAAGTTCGCGCTGACGGGCGAGACGCAGGAGCGGGAGCGGGTGCTGGTCCACTTCAGCAAGCGCTACCTGGAGAACAACCCGCGCTCCTTCAACTCGCCCGGTGAGGGAGCGACAAGAGGGTGGTGGGGGGGAGTGGGGGGGGGGGGGGGGCGCCAGGGTCGGCGCGGGCCCCAGCTAGGACGGGTCCGTGCGGGAAGGACTTCCGACTGCGGCCCTTGTGGGCAGAAGCACTGGCGGGCGCTGTGAGAGACGTTTGTCGTGTGCGACTGTTGACCTTTTATGTTTTTGTTTTGTTTTTGGTAATGCAACTCGGCAGCGGCACGTGGCTCTATCATTTGGAAATGACTGGTGACTTATGGTTTTGTTTGTGACTGGCGTGTGCCCTGCTGTCTGACCTGGTCTTTCCCTGTCTGTGGTCGTCTGACGGTCGTCGGCCCTCGCCCCAGACGCCTGCCACACGCTCACCTGCGCCCTGATGCTGCTCAACACCGACCTGCACGTGCAGCACGTGCCGCGCAAGATGACCTGCGCCGAGTTCGTCGACAACCTGTCGGAGCTGAACGACGGCGAGGACTTCCCGCGCGACACGCTCAAGAGCCTGTACCAGGCCATCAAGGCGCAGCCGCTGCACTACGCCGCGTGAGTGGCGCCCTCTGGCGGGTGACGGCGACGGCGGGCTCGGCCGGCCGGGGGCGGGCTGCGATCTGGTGATGGCGGCAGGCCTCGCCGTGCGGCGGCAGTGGGCTGTGTTGTGGGGTGTGGGTCGGCGTGGGGACGCTCGATGCGTGAAGGCGACGTGGGGATGTTTTGTGGAGGGGATTGAGGCGACGTGTTGGGGTCACGGATGGAGTGGTTGTCCTTCCCGCTTAGGCTCAGGCGGTAAAGTGCTGGACTTGCAATCAGAGTACCCTAGTTCAAATCTCAGCGGTGGCAAGGGGAGAATTCGGACCGTGACACTTACGTGTCTGAAAGCCAAACGTCATCCAGTCACTTATCAGGACCCTATGACGCCTGAGGACGGCCGGAGAATTAGCTGACCGAAGCGATGGGCGCGCACTTACGCACCGGACGAGGAGAACAATCCTCACAGTTATTCCATCCGCGAGACGTTCAGCCGCGATGCCACAGCAGCGGTAGGGTGGAACACTCCGGCGTGGGCCAGTGTCGGTCATGTGGGAGCCTCCTGGGCCGGCCGCCGCCGTGTGTGACCCCGCTGCGTGGTCTCGGTGGACCCCGGTCAGGCAGCCGCCACGCCGGCTCCGAGGCGAGAGGGTCAGGCGGCGGCTGCGGTCGGACCACCCGGTGAAGGCGGTCTGGTCCGGAGCTCGTTTAGCAGCTCTGGTGCCCGTGTGGCCACTTGGTGCACGCTTGAAGTCGGTCCGGTGGTCGGCGTCAACCGGCGGGGCCGAGGACAGGTGCTGCACGTGATGGCCCGCCACGGTGCCCCGTACCGAGGGGGGGGGGGCCGGAACGCACACCGGTGCCGACGTCCTGGAAATCACAACCAGTGTAGAAGCTGGCGTCTTCACAGCAGGGTTGATGTAACGGACCGCCGCAGTGTGGCCTGGTCGTGAAGCACAACATGTATGTGGCGTCGCGGAAGAGCATCGCTGGGGATGTAACCGGCCGCCGCGGTATGGCCTGGTCGTGAAGCACAACATGGATGTGGCGTCGTAGAAGAGCATCGCTGGAGATGTAACCGGCCGCCGCAGTGTGGCCTGGTCGTGAAGCACAACATCGATGTGGCGTCGCAGAAGAGCATCGCTGGGGATGTAACCGGCCGCCGCAGTATGGCCTGGTGAAGCACAACATCGATGTGGCGTCGCAGAAGAGCATCGCTGGGTGCTGGGTTGGTCTGAACCACAGGCTGCAGTATTTGAAGCGATGGAAAGTTGATTGTGCCTACGTCACCCTTCAGATTCTGAACAGGTAGGCGTTCGTTGTTATTTAAAGCCCACGCGAAATATGGGCTTAATGCACCGCACACCGGACGGAAATTGCCTTGGCAAACGAGATCAGCTCAGAGTCCTGCCAATCACCAAGTCAGCCGTCGCTTCATGCTATGGTGATGCCAAAGCCAGTTGCCAATCACAGAAGGAAGCTGACGTCCAAATTGGGCATGGCGTAACACGCTGGCAATATTGCTGCTCGATACATTTTCCAGTGCATAGACACCCCGAATTCTATCCGCTTTATGAAGAGAATTGCGTGCGTCACCCAAGCCGTCCGCTCGCCAACCATTGTCTGTTCCTCGCGGCTTGTGGGTGGAATGTATGTCAGACCGCGTCCGCAGGGTCACGGTGGCGCAGGTGGTTGTGACGCTCCGTGCGTGCGCACGTGCGCGCCGCGCTGCTACGCACCGGGCGCCGTGGCACGCTGCGCCGCTTCGCTGCGCAGTTTGGACGTGCGCCACGTGATCCCCACGGGATGACTACGGCGCTGACCATAAGCTTACAAACATGGCACCACTAACACTGACACTACGCGCAGGCGCCTCGTACGGGTCCGACAAGGCGGCACTGAAACTGGCCGGAACTATCGAGTGGCGTCGGGGCGTGGTCGTGACCGCGGGTCGAGTGGCCGAGTGGTCAGCGCCTTTGGCTACCACGTGGGGGTCCGGGTTCGAGCCCCGGCTGCGCCATGGCCATTGGTCGTTCGTTTGGCCCCCGCAGTCGCTGTCGCTCCATAAACGGGAGGGCGATGACGTGCGTTGCGTTTCCTTAAAAAGGAATCTCAGCCCGCTGTGGAGCGTAGATGAGAGACACTGCCGGCACTAGACTGTGTTTCGACGGCATTTCACGGCCCGTCCTGTCAACGAACAGTTGCTTGTAAATTACTGCATACGTCTGTGCGCGATCACGGATGTGCAGTCAATTATGGTTTTCGTGAAACCAATGGCTTCCATGCATTGATGCCGCGCATTAAATTAAAATATGTACGTTCCCTGCCAACACAAGCAGTAACGTGAGCAACATAATGCAGTGGAAATGCAACCTTAGTCATCCTTTGGGCTTCTGGGAAGAACACAGCCACCATCAGTGTCATGTTTCTTTTGATCCTCTGTGGACGTAAGTCGGATGTAAATGTGAAAGTCACGAACCGCGGGTCTGGTTCTGGTGTCAGATGACATCGTTAGTCCCGGACCAGTTCATTGACCTCAGCGTCAGATACAAGGCAGGTATGCAGTAGCAACAGATGCTGCATATCTGCATGCATCAGTTCTCATTGGTCATTGATGGCAGCCTCGCGGTATGCACTACGAAATCATGTTTATTTTCCACCCTGGTATGATGTAGGTTTGGCTTGAAACGAACGGTTTTGCTTTTTACCTGTAGCCGTCAGGTGCACTCTGTTCTGATTCAGTGCACTCAGGTGCACAGATGTTTATTTTCGTATCAGGAGCCTCTAATTGTCAAGTGTTGTCTTTCAAAGATGGCATATCCACGATTATCTGGGATCTAAAGAGGTATTATTCGCGAGAATTCGCCTAGATCTTGCGGCGCTTATCGCCACGCGACAGGATGGCGTCCGCGGCGCAGTGGGATGCCAGCCGTCGCTGTGCTGAACCGGTGGCGTCACTCCAGTACTCGTCCTTTGTATCGTTTAGCGCCTGGCCGGCCGCCGCCGCCGCCGCCGCCGCCGCCGTCTGTGGCTCCGGTGACTCGCCGTAACCTGACCGGACTGCGGGCGGGGCCTGTCTCGGGAGGAGGGGGGGGGGGGGGCGGCCCCCCGTCGGCGGTCGGTCCGGCTCCAGTAGTCCGGCGCGGTGGGCGGTTGTGGTTGAGGTGGTTGTGAAGCTGCTGTGACGGTCGTATGCCTCCCTCCTGCGCACGGCAAGTAGACAGCCGGCGGCGGTGATGGTCAAGTGGTGGCAGCGATGGCGACGTGGTGGGCGAGATCGACGCGCCTGACTGAGGACACGGAGAACTGAGCACACGTGCAGGGACCTCCGGACGCGAGACACGGACCAGCGCCAACCGGAGGCCCGCGCCGGTCACCGCCAGTGTATATTGTACCGCTGCAGGAGGCCGGCCGGGCTCCAACAGAACAAGCGGACGATGGAGCGGACAGCGGCCGGGGTCGGCCGGGCGCCGGCGAGCGAAGCGGCTGTGTGACCGTGCGCCGCCGCTGGGAGGTTCGGCAGCCGGGCACCGGCGCCGGCACCATGCTATGTCTGAGGAGGGGGCGGCGCGGCCAGCCCAGGTGACGGAGAGGGGGGGGGGGGGGGGGCGGCCGACGCCTGCTGTATTGTACTGCGCTGTACTGTGCTGCACTATGCTGTGCTGTGCTGTGCTGTGCTGTACTGTACTGCACCGCACTGCACTGCGACTGTGCTGTGTACTGCGTTGCGTTGAGTACTACGCACTGTGCTACTGGCGCCGTGGCGATGCACCGCTCCAGTTGACCCCTCCCTCGCCCGTCCCGCCCACAGCAACGAGTACACACTGTGCTACCGGCGCCGTGGCGCTGCACCGCCCGAGCTGGCCCCACCATTGCCTGTCCCGCCCGCAGGGACGACGAGTACGAGGAGATGCAGAGCGCGGCGACCGAGGTGCCGTCGGCCGGCGCCGGCGCCGGCGGCAGCAACCCCTTCCTCGAGATCCCCGACGCCAGCAAGGCGACCGAGTACAAGCGCGGCTACGTGATGCGCAAGTGCTGCGTCGAGCCCAACGGCAAGCGCAGTGAGTGCGAAGCGCCGCCTGCGCACTGTGCGAAGCGCTGTCTGCCCACTGTGCGAAGCGCTGTGCACTCCAGCCCTGTGTGGTGTCACGAGTCACCGCGTCTGTCGCGCTGTCTGTGTCCGGTTGTGAAGCACAGCGAGTGTGCCGCTCCGCGTCTCTTGGCGGCGGGTTCCCACTGTCCGCCTACCTGCAGGCTGTCCGTCCGGTCCGTGTTCACGGTGCTGGCGCGTCTGGTGGCGGGCGCCACGCTCCGACGTCGAAGGTGTCAGCTCGGGTGCAGTGTGCTGCCGAGCGGTTACCGTGCGCCGTGCCGTCGCATGTCGCCGTGGCGCGTGCTGTGGCGTGGTGGGCGGGTGTGCTGCAGGCCCGGACTGCGCCCCGGTCTGCAGGTGCGTGGCCGGCTGGCCGGGCCGGCGGCCGCCCAGTGCCCGGCTGCAGCTCACCGCCGCCGCCGTCGCAGCCTGCCGACGGCGGCGGCGGCGGTGGCGGTCCGTCAGCCGCACGGACCGGGCCATTGTCCGGCGGCTGTAGGGGGAGGGGCACCCCCTGCGGCGCCGCTGACCGAGCAGACGAGGCCCGCCGGCGCCGCGCCGCAGGCCGAGCTGAGTCGGCCGGTGTCTGCCGATGGCGTGTTGGCCCGGCGCAGGGGGCGGGATGCCCGGCCGCCTTTACGTCATCTCAGGCCTGTTCCCTGCCGGCGGTGTCCGGCAGGGAACAGGCCGTGCCGCGTCCGCGTGTTGCTGCACCGGCCCGAAGTTCACCTGACGTCGCTCCCGACCCGCCCCGTCCTCTGTGCATGCGGAGGCTTGTGTGCTCCCGTTGTTTGTGTGCGCAGCCAGGCCTTCGTTCGAAACGCCTCATGCTGTGAACAGGCGCGCTTCAACCGCGCTCGGTGGCCTGTAACAGGTTGTGTGACTGCTCTGCCGCCACTCGCTTCCGTTGGGACCTCTGTGTCGCCGCACGAGGCGGCCAGTGGTGTTACCGTGCATCCCACGTCCGCTTTCGTGCGGCAGGAGTGCACTTGACACCTCTCGCCGTGTGGTATCTCGCTGCGAGAGCTGCCGGTGAAACAGCGTCATTGCCGTTGCCGTCGTGTTTCGGTGCCCATCTGTGACCTCCGGCGCGGCGTGTGTGGTCCTTGCCAGGAGGTCGCTGCTGCCGTGTTAGCTCCCGATCTGGCCAGCAGCCGCCCTTTGCGGCCGCCGCCGGTTTCTGCCCTCCAGCGCCGTGTACTCTGCGCCCGGTTACCCTCCAGTGCCGTGTTCTCAGCGCCCGGTTAGCCTCCAGTGCCGTGTACTCAGCGCCCGGTTACCCTCCAGTGCCCTGTACTCTGCGCCCGGTTATCGCCAGTGGCCGTATCCTTTGCCTCCTGGTTACCGCCGGTGGCCGACGACGTTGACGTTGTTGACGCCGGCGCCCGACTCTGTCCGGCAGCGGCGCTCGGTAAGCGGTCGTGGCGCATGTTCTACTGCACACTGCGGGACCTGGTACTCTACATGCACAAGGACGAGAACAACTCGCGCAAGCCGGGCGCCTACGACGACCTGCACAATGCCATTAGGTGCGCCAGGCGCCGGTGCGGGGGCGGCGGGGCGGGCGGGCAGACCATGGTGTGCGGATTCAGCGCAACGCGAGCGGAGGTCACGGCCACTTGTGCGTGCACGAGTATTGCGAGGAATCGGGTGCGGCGTTGTTTTTTCTGCTTCTTCGGTTTGGTTTTACGCAGCGAGCACTACCGTCAGAACTTCCACATACGATGCAGTCTTTACGACTGCTGTCCGCTGACCATTTGTTCACTTATCTTTGGGGCATTGTGGGTGAGCAGTCCCCACGCGGCTGGCCGGGACAGCGCGGCGCTCGACGGCGCGTGGAGTGCGGGGTGGGCTCTGCCGGTGCTGCCGCGCCTGCAGTGACCGAGGCCTTGACCTGACCTGACCTGACGCGACCTGACTTGCCCGGCGGTGGCGCGGCAGGGTGCACCACGCGCTGGCGACCAAGGCCGACGACTACTTCAAGAAGCAGCACGTGTTCAAGCTGCAGACGGCCGACCGGGCCGAGTACCTGCTGCAGACCAGGTGAGGCCGCCATCAGTGGGCCGAGGCGGCTCGCTCGCGCGCGCAGGCGCTGTGAGACACGCGGCCAGTGGTGGACCGAGGGCACCCGGCCACGCACGGCGTCGCAGACGGGCTGGGGGGGGGGGGGGGAATATGTCCTCACTGGGGTGTTTGCTCGCGCTGTCGTCCTCACGCGGCCGCCAGACGGCGCGGCCCGGCCGGAGCGGACGCCGTGTCTGCCGACGGCGGTCGGATGTGCACGGTGTTTTGTCGGGGCTGTTGCCGCCGCTTACCCAGCTCTCCCCCGTCCCCCGCCGTCGCCAGTGACGCCAAGGAGCTGCAGGCCTGGATCGACACGTTGAACTTCGTGTCGGCCAGCCTGTCGTCGCCGCCGCTGGCCGGCGCCGTCGGCAGCCAGCGGCGCTTCCAGCGGCCGCTGCTGCCGGCCGGCATCACCAAACTCAACCTGGTGAGTGGGACCTGGGAGCTGAGGGGAAGCTGACGGCAGCAGGGAGCTGACGTCGGTGGGGAGCTGGCGGAGGGGAGGTAGCCAAGCCAGGGCCCCAGGCCCGCCTGTTATCGACGGAAGCCTCCGGTCCGGCCGGAGGAGCACGTCGTCAATTGGGACGGGCCACTCGCTGCTGCACCAGGCTAAGACTCACTGGCGCTCGCCTCACTGGCGCCCCTGTGCTGGCGCTGACCCGCTGTTGAAGGCGAGCCTCTCGCAGCCCCAGTGATCTAGCCTGTTGGCGCCCCCGCCCGGGCCGTGGCTCGCTGTTTGGCGTGACCCGCTGGTGGACTGGCCTGCGAGCAGGCGGTCAAGCCGACCGGCTAGCGTTTGTGTGGAAATCACGGCTGGGCTGCCTTCTGTTGGGTTCTCTTAGGGTATCACAAATTATTAAGTCTGGTTTTAAGGTATGGAATTAGTGCAAAAGCGTATGGCTCTTAGACGTACCGCAAATACAATTACTCGGTGACGTTCATTTCGAAACGTCAAAGCCACGTTTTGAGGTCCGCGTTATGCTTATGTAATGAGATTGGGGTAGCGCGGCTTCAGTAGTGGGTTGGACGAAGATGCGTACTCCGCCGATGCCCACGCAATGCCAGCGCCATGTGTCATTGGGGCTTCACGACGCACTCAGCTGCTGAGGCTACATGGCGTCGCCTGCCTCCCACCCTGGCAGGAAGGGCGGGCGCCGCGGGGAATCGAACCCCGGACCTCTGGTTTCCCAGACCATGATTCCACACCATTCCATACATTCTACACCAGCGCCGTAATTGGCGCCGCGCTGTCGATGCGAGGCTCTCCGGCGGCCGTCACCGCCGCGGCCCGCCGATGCGAGACCCTCCGGCGGCCGTCACCGCCGCGACCCGCTGATGCGAGACCCTCCGGCGGCCGTCACCGCCGCGGCCCGCCGATGCGAGACTCGCCGGCGGCCGTCACCGCCGCGGCCCGCCGATGCGAGACTCGCCGGCGGCCGTCACCGCCGCGGCCCGCCGATGCGAGACCCTCCGGCGGCCGTCACCGCCGCGGCCCGCCGATGCGAGACTCGCCGGCGGCCGTCACCGCCGCGGCCCGCCGATGCGAGACCCTCCGGCGGCCGTCACCGCCGCGACCCGCTGATGCGAGACCCTCCGGCGGTCGTCACCGCCGCGGCCCGCCGATGCGAGACTCGCCGGCGGCCGTCACCGCCGCGGCCCGCTGATGCGAGACCCTCCGGCGGCCGTCACCGCCGCGGCCCGCCGATGCGAGACTCGCCGGCGGCCGTCACCGCCGCGGCCCGCCGGGACCGGGGACAGCCTGACCCGCCGCTGACGCTGTCCGGCAGCACGACCAGCTGCTGGAGCACGAGAAGAAGGTGACGCAGCTGGAGGCCGAGCTGGCCACCATGGAGCAGAGTCCGCCGCCCAAGGGGGCGCGCACCCAGCTGGTGCAGGCCTACCGCGAGAAGTTCGCATTCCTGCAGGCCGAGGTACGGGCCTGTGTTCCACCCTCGTGAACAACTCTTGGGTGAGGTGGTTTGTTTGATTTTAGTCTGGCAGCGCAGCTGGCGTCAGTGTTCTCAAGTGAATTATGAGACAGGCCCGGCTCGGCTCAGCTATTGGTTTTAAGATCCATCGTCCGTTTTCATGTGTCATCTATGTCGGGTCTTCACACAAAGTTTTGTGGTTTAATGAGCATTGATGAACGACTTTGTGTGTGATGCGCTGAAATGTTACCTATCTTCACTGCTCTTGTGTGCCATGTTTGAGATGTACATGTGCGGTTGACAGCCACTTAAGTTGCTCCTATTCGTCACGACCTGTGCTGTGTTGACGACTGGCTTCGATGGGCGTCAGCGGTGTGACCCTTGTGACCCCGGCGCCCCGGCCTGGCTCCAGGCCACACGCTACCGCACCTACGGCCAGCTGCTGCGCTCCAAGATGGCGCAGTACCCGCAGCTGGAGCCGGCGCTGCTGCAGACGCCCATCGGCGAGCTGGACGAGGAGGCGACCGCGGCGCCCCCGCCGGCCGCCGCCGCAGTCAAGCCTCCGCCGCCGGCCGACAGGCGGCCCGCGAAGTCGACTGACAGGTATAGTTACCTGCAAGCCGTGGCCGGTGACCGGGCGGCGACGAACTTGGATTAGCGGCCGCCGGCGCCGCTGCCGAATCTCCCGCGGATCTAGCGCCACCCGGCGGCGGCCGGCGCGATTCGCCGTTCGCTGGCCGGCCGGCAGATGGCAGCGTGGTAGCCCGCATGCTGGCCGCTCGGCGGCGACTAACCCCGGCTGGTGGTGGCGTGGCGCGCCGGTGCTGGACGCGCGGGGCGGCGGACGGTCTGGCGCCACCGTCCGTAGACGGGACGGGCCGCGATAGGTCCCGACCGAGCTGAACAATGCAGGTGCTGCTGCTAGTGACGGTGGTGGTGGTGGTGGTGACGGTGATGGCGACGCTGACGGTGGTGTCAACGGTGTGTTTGCGCTCTGACAATGCCAGCTCTTCATGTAACACTTGCATGCCGCGTGTGGTGGGCTACCCCTGCTCAGCTGCCGCCGAAGCGCGCAGTTCTAGTCGTGTGCACAACGAGGGCCGTGTGGCCGTGACGTCACAGGGAGGCGGTGACGTCACTGGGGCGGCCGGTCGTGATATGGCTGTTTGTCTGACCAGGTGCGGGGCGCGCCGCTGGCGGGAGAGCGGCGCCAAGCGTGTGGGGGCGCCCGAGTCCTAGTCCGGGTCGGAGTCCGAGTCGGAGGCCGGGGCTGGGTGCCTGAAGTCTGGGCGCCAGGGACGGCGGCGGCGCGCGCTGACGCCGCGCCCGCCGGCGGGCGTCAGCTGGCGGGCGCCGCCGGCGCTGTCGCACGCCGCAGTCTCATATCAGCGAGCGGCGCGGCGTCGGCGGGCGGCCCGACATTGGCGCCTTGCGGAGTCGCCGACGGCGACGGCGGAACGCGGCAGCCAGCCAGAAGATGGTCTGCTGGTGCCGCCGGAGCCAGCCTGGGCTCGAAATTCCGTCACGGTGTCGCGTGTGCTTAAGAAAGGAGAGCGGCTGTCGGTCCCGGGCCGCCCGCGCGCGACGTTTCAGACGTTTCAATCTCGTAAACACGGACGTTTCACAGACGTGTCAATCTCGTAAAGCTTAGACGCCTTGGAATCAAGTGTAATAACCTGCAATTGCCTGTTCGTGTGAGCGATCCTGGGAGGTTCCGCCTGTGCGGTAACGGAGGGTGGGGATCCCGACTGGCAATGCAGGGCTGGACGGGTCAGTTGAGAACTGCACTCACTTCAGCGACCCCCGTGGGGCTCTCGGTCAACGCGCGCTATTGCGTGCGAGGTCCTGTTCTGGTGGCCTTTATTTGAACGACTCTTTTGCTATCGACTCACATGCAAAGCTGTGCCAAAACGGGAGTCGGACGGCGACTGGGCGTCAGGTGTAGGCCGCCGGCCGCCGGCCGCCGGTGGCGCGGAGCGGGCCTCGGTGGCCGGCGCCGCCCGACAATCAAAGAGCTTGTGATGGGACGGTGAGGCCAGCTGCTTTCGACTGGTAAATCTGGAGATTTTCTGACGCTCCGCCGCGGAGTCGGGACGGCAGGCAGGCACGGAGGTACTGAGATTTTCACGCTCGTGCGCTGAGGCGGTCATGCTTCAGGTCAGCGAGTATTGAAGTGCTGGATCCCACGTAGGCTGTCAGAAAATATTACAGTGGCACGCGCAGCCTATGCACGTTTGACATGTTTTGTTGTTATCGTTTCGCATAAGCGTGTATTTTGCGTGATAATCATAGGTTGTTTGGCATTGACAAAGGGGTCCGAGTTAAAGACGTGGTACCTTCTCGTTCCTCTCATTTTGGGGTTTGTTTGTAGCAGCAGCGCAAGTTTACACCAGGGCCCAAAGGCCTTTGTCCCCTGCGTAGTAGCCCATAGGATGTTCACCTGGGCGGGACGTGCATAACTAGCATGTTTTGGCTCAAATGATGTTAGCTGTTGTTGGACAGTGCTTTCCATTTTCAAGGATCATGGAATGACGAACTCTGCAGCAAAAAGCGACGATTGTTCTGCCACCCTGACATTCAAAAATACTGGCCTGTTGTGACGTTGAGGCTGGTGATGAATTCCAAGAATGTTCGGTTTTATTAAGATCTTCCCGCAACTTCTGCCTGAGCAACGACTCATGTCACTACAGATCGCGCTAGGCACACACCCAGCGCAGTCAAAGCCCGGGACGTGCCATTGAGGACAGGCTGTTGACCAATTTACGACTCAGCGGGCCACGGTTGGTTACATAAAATGGTCCAAATGGAGCTGGCGTCTAGTCCGTGACGGGACTGACGAGGGCCACTGCTGGCCGGCGGTGGTGCTGGGGCCGCGTCGGCGGTCGGAGGGGAGGCGACGAGGGACGCCGCGGCAGCCTCCATCCCCTCCCCGCCCTCACCGCCGCACCACGGGACGCCTCCCCTCCGAGCACGCTGGCTGGCGGAGCGCGCGGCCAGCGCTCGGCAGAATCACGCGCGCTCGGGACGATTCAGATCGTGGTGGTGGCGCGAGGCTCGGCGATCGGTGCCAGCGCGGCTCTAATATCGGACGACGCTACAGGAGGGATCTGAACCGGTTGTGACGTGACGCCGCGCGTCCGCGGCCTCCGTCGCGGTGGCCCGGCGGGCCCGACGGCCGCCCGCCGGGCCCCGCTCCGGAGCGCGCGGCGCCGCGGCCGGCGGCCATCGAGTGACGTTACACGGCCTGGCCGGCTCGGAGCCGGCGGTGTTAGCGGCGCGCTGAATCCTTGCGTGTGGCGGCGTACGTCCCCGTGCTTACTCCTCGTTTTCGTTGCGTTAAATCGCCGATGCGCGTAACCATGCTTTAGACGCGTTTATTTGTACTAATGTTTTGACTGAGAAACGCAGTTGTGTGTGTTTTTTAAATATCCTGTGCTTTCAATAAAACCGGCGACTGAGCGTGTTTGTGTGGCGGCGCGGCTGTGGCTGGTGGCTGACGGTCGGCAGGCAGCTCGCCCCGTCCCTGCACAGCATCGGTCGGCGCCGGCGGGCCTCCGGAGGTCGGCGGCGGGCGGCCGTGTGTGCCCGCGTTGACCCCGCGGGACCGTGCCGGCCGCGGGCCGCGGGCGTGTGCCGGGCGCGGGCGCACCCCCGCTGAGGAATGCGGAGTTTTGCTTAAGCCCTGCGTTTTGTGTACTTGTTCGGTTGGTTACACCTGGCCGCCTAGATCCAGTGTCCCGCGGTTGCACGGCGCCTGCGCTTTTGAGGTGGTTTAAACTTAAAAGGTTTTTTAAAATTTGCGGACAGAAATTGCCGCGCGATCCCGTTGCATCAGGGAACAGACGTGGGAGTCATATTCAGTTCGCGAATCGGGCAAACTAAACTTCAATTAACGAACAGATTGGATGGTAGTGTATCCGTAGTGCATTGTAGAGTGCCTGTGGTGTGTTGGTAGGGGGCCGGTGGTAGACTGACTAACGGCGTGTAGGCAGCTCTGTAGTAGACTTCTCCGATACACGTCAGCAGCGGGTCGGCCGCAGCCGCGCGTCTAACCGCCGTGCCCGCCGCTGGCGCCGCCTCTGGTGATGGTGGTGATGGTGATGGCTGTGCACTGACACTAACCCGCGCCCGGTGAGTGCCCGCCCGTACCTGACCGGTGCGGCCGCTGACGGCGCGGACCCGGGCCGACACCAGCTGGCCCCCGCGCTGGTGTCGGCCGGCGCCGGACGGCGTTCCTGACGGCTCCAGCCGGTGGGCGGGGTCTCCGGCTCGGCCACGCCCACTGTCTGCTGAGTGCGAGGCTGGCCATCCCGGTGGAGCCGCACGCAGCTGTTCAGTCGGGTGATGTCCAGTGCTGGGTTCAACGCGCGAGCGGCCCGTGTAAAACTAATGGAGGGGGATGGCTGCACGATACGCACTGGTCCCGACCCCTCCCTTCTCCAGTGGGGGTGCCTGTGCCGTTGACCTTGGGTATGTGCGGGAGAATCAGCCAGTTTTCATGCCTTTCTTTAATCAGCCAAAGCTGTTTGCGTATTCTTGGGCTGGTTATGTGTGATCTGCAGGCAGCCCACAGTAGTATGGCTTGGGTGATCTGACGTGCACACTCTTCTGTGGGCTTGTCGAATGATGGGCCCCGTCTTTTGAAGGTTCATCTTGACACTGACCGCTGACTCCTGGGTTGGACTGCTCCCCTCTGCGCTAGTCTGGCTGCCGTCCCGGGTTCGGACCCGGTGACCCCTGACCTGACCCGCGGTGGGCTGTGCCCGCAGCCCGGCGGAGGCGTCCGAGGTGTCCGAGCCGCCGGCGCAGCCGTTCCCCGCCACCAAGGAGCACCTGCTCAAGCAGAAGCAGGCCAGAGCTGACGGCGCCGAGCCAGCCGACGCCGACGGCGGATCGGAGAAGTCCGCTCAGGCGGCGCCGGAGCCCGCCCCCGCCCCCGCTCCCGCCCCGGCCGACGCTGCCCAGGCGGACAGCGCGCCGCCCGCCGACCGGGCGCCAGAGACCAAGCAGAAGCGTAGGTGGTGGAAGAAGTAGCGTCGACGCGGCGAGTGGTGGTAGATGCTGCTGGAGCGCCTCGCGCCGGGGAAGCTTGCGATATGCGCGCGCGCGCGTCGGGCCGCGTGATTTGAAATGGGGGCGGCGTGCGTGGCGTGTGTGAGATGTCGGTGTGCGTGTTTCGGGTGCAGTGTCACGTAGCCAGCCGTCGATGTTGCAATATATGCCCCGCGCGGCCCTGGCCTGGTGGCCAGCAGACCCATCGCTGCGCGGTCCTGGCCTGGTGGTCTGCAGACCCGTCGCTGCGCGGCCCTGGCTTCGTGGTCTGCAGACCCGTCGCCGCTCGGGACACGTTGTGCCCTGCGCCTCCCTGCGCCGCCTTGTGGAGCCTTGACCAGTGCCGTTCGCGTACGCGTGTCGGGCGCCGTTGTTTATCTAGACTTGCTAGTCGATATAGCCTGCTCTCCGCTAACAGGACGCCGCGCGTCGTACGCCCCCAGTTATGTGACCTGCACGTATAATTTGCCATTATCTGGAGGTGTTGTTCCCTCCCCTTCCCCCGCTGCGTACCCAGCCGTCACTGTTCGCGAACATCGCTAACACCGCCGTGCTTCTTCATAAAGCCCATGCGGGTGTTTAAAGCGGCATATGGCCGTGGCTGTTGACTGCGTCTGCATCAATGGCCACAGCATGAACTGTCGTAATTGCTGCATCGCCAATACGGATCTGAAAACCGGGCCTTGTTCGCGTGCTGCGCGCGCAAAATTAAGATTTGCCTCGTGTTCAGGGGTTGCACGCGATGTGCGCGCGTCACGATGGGCAGTCGGCTTGAATATTCGTGGTGTTTGCGGGGTCGCCCCGTCGCGTATGGCGCGAGTGGTTGTACTGGTTGTACCCCTTGATATTGCAATTTGGCCATTTCACGTACAACCAGTGTGGGAAAGCCGTAGCTATTTAGGTTGTAAAATGTCACCGGCACGGAAGCGGTGTGGAGAATTTTGGAAGAGGTGAGTGGCATGAGGCATACGCCGGGAGTCAGAAGGTGTCCTGTGCCTTCCCGATACCGAGTAAAGAACAAGGGAGCTGTGGCGATCGCGAAGCCATTCGCCGTACGCTTGTGAGCGTGTCCGTGTTGTTTCCTTGAGTGTTGTGGTTGCTCCTGATCGCGTGCACTGCGCGGGTGCCTTTGCAAACGTGAATCTCGCGCCGTTTCCCCCACCAATCAGGATGCACGCGCGAAGCAAGTGAACAGGGCCCAGGTTGACTCATTCAGCCGTCTGGCCAATCGGCACCAACTGTCGTGACGTCACGTCACGTACTGGCATCCGATTGGCCTGTCGTATTGAGGTTCGGCGGTAGGACCAATCACGAGCGGGCGCATGTAACCGCGGCGGTGTAGATGGCGCTAGTGAGCCGTGCTTTCAATGTGTGTACCGTGCTGGTATCAGGACGCGTGTGGCGAATTGTAAGGCCATAGCCGTCGTGGCGTAGTTACTGAGCGATAACCTCGCTCGTAATAGTCAATGCCGCGCACACCCAGGGACGAACGCCCCGTCGTCTACCGATCTCCCATGAAATCTGCGTCGCAGATTTCACCCCGTGACTTTCAGTTAGATGGTGCCACTGCTTTGGAGAGGCACGCGTGTTTGTGAGGTGAAGGGCCCTCGCCCTGGGTATGTGCGGCGTTGAGACCCCGCGCTTTGAGATGTCCCCCTGGGAAAGTTGACGTGTTTCGAATGTAGTCAGATGACGTGGAAGCTAACCAACCATGCGCTGGAAATAAACAACGAAGGGCAAGTCTGTGTTTCGAGCGCTACCAACGGGATGGGTGTTGTTGGCGTGTTATCGCAGCGGTGGCCGCAGTGATAGCCTGACTTAACGGCGGCATCCGTGTAATACACCGGTGGTGCTCCGCCATGAGGCTATCCGCACAGATATTGCCGGAGTCAGCCCGGTGTTTGGACGAAACAGGTGACTATTCGTAAAAATGCTCGCAGTGTTGTGTGCATCGTCATAAGGTTTGGTGATGTCGCCACGAACAGCTTTCCACGTACCTGCGCAGACAATGATAATGGGTGTGGGCGTTTTTGACAATGAACTGAAATTCGATATGCACAATACGTAGAACGCCGTACGGTCTACGGGCATTATGGTATGTTGACAGAAGCTTTTCAGCGTGTCAAAAGCGAGCGATGTCACGTGGGGAATGAGAGCGCGGTGGGCAACCAAGGGTGCTCGAATTAACATCAAAGAGGGCTTGCTCGTCGCACTGTAAGTCACCTAAGATTAAAATGTCCGGTCGCATCATCTTTGACATTCAGGTATACAGTACATCTGCACTCTATCAGCCATTGACAATCGTGCACGAACACCTGGACTTTCGTCAAAGCACCGCCGCGCGGAAGTCTGTCTAGTACAAACGCTAGCAGGAGGCAGGTTGGTCGTGTTAAATTTCGCGTGGGGCAACAGGTCACGGACAAAGGTTAGACGACAGTCGTCGTGCTAAGGTTAGGGCAAAAGTTCTGGGATAAAGTTTGACGAGCTTATGAAAATTGTGCTCATCTTCGAATAAGGTGAACGTTCATTTATGCCAAGACTTCATCAGGCTGGAGTTCGTGGAGGGCAGAAGCTTAATCTGGAACGAAATTTCGTCTGAGGCAGGGTCTGGCTTGTAAAGTTCGCATCGGACAAACGACATACGGCTGTAGCCCAGGGTGGATTTGGGGAACAGATCTCATGCCATCGTTCTAACGGCAGTAAGCGCTTGATACAAAATCGCTCACCTCTGGCGCATCAAGACCGAAACGGAGCGGGCCGAGTTTTGTGTACGAAAACGTGAACACGAATCGCCTGGGATCGGTGGTGGGTCAGCTGGGTCAGACTGGTGAAAGTACATGGCAGGTCATTGCCCACACGGGACAAATGTTTCAGGTAGGTTAGATTTAGTTTCGGTTAATCCGGTTTAGTTGCATAAATGCCAAATGTTCAGTCCAAAAGTATTGGTCCTGTTGGGCAGCCTGCAACATCAGACGATCTTCCGGGAGGAGGCAGCGGCGGCGGTTGGGGGCGGAACTGACTGACACCCGCCTCCCAGGCGGTACACCCCGGTGGACTGAGGTGGAGGAGAGGCGGCCAGCCAGGCGGTACACGGTACTGGGTTGAGGTGGAGGAGAGGCGGCCAGCCAGGCGGCACACGGTACTGGGTTGAGGTGGAGGAGAGGTCACGAGTGACGTCACGCCCGCGTGCAAACGGCAGAGCTCCCGCCAGGCTCGGCTACCTACGGCATGTCGCGTACAAAGCTGGCTTTCAGAGGGGCTGAAGTGAAATGCGCGGCATGACCTTGACGTCATGAACAGCACGACCATGACGTCATGGGCGGCGCGACCATGACGTCATAAGCGGCATGACCACGTCACGAGTGGCAGTTCTATTGACGACCGTTGCTGAGTGAAGAGCACCGTTTAAGAATGGTCCCCTGAATCTCTAAGCCCGGTGATGGGCTTTCTGAGATACTGACGCATAGCTTCATGAACGTCTTCCCAAATTGCCATTGCAGTCTTGTAACAGAGCACAAAAAGCGCTACATTTTGATAAGATTATATAAACATCGTAGCGAGGTAGGCAGAAACGTGGAGCGTAAATGGTTTCATCTGCAAGTGCGTCAACCCAGTGCCAAACCCGGCCCTATCACGCCTCTGTGCTGGCCCCAGCTACCAGATCGCCCGCTGTCAAACACCACAGTAACACACCGCATGGTTAAGGAGGTTTATTGGTGCGCCGGTCTGGGGTGGAGAGGCCTGGGACGGCCTTCGCTAGCACGACAGTGGTCAGTGGCCGCCCGAGACACGACAAACGGAACTGGCCAGGTTCTTGGTCGGAGCCGCAGGAGCGCCACGCGCGGCGGCGCGGAAGCGCGGCGGTGAGTTCGGCACGAGTCGCCCCAGCCGCAGCCCCTACCCCGGTCAGGCGTCGCGGCTGAGCCGATCAGGACCTCCTGTCCTGATCAGGCGTCGCGGCCGAGCCGATCAGGACCTCCTGTCCCGATAGCATCGCGGCCGAGCCGATCGGGGCCAGGCGTGGGGGCGGTGAGCCCCGCCGGGCCGCGTAACTCGCCGAGATACAAGGCCACGGCGACACCCACCCGGGCCCGACAACCGCCGCTCCGGCCGCCGATCAGTGTCCGGGCAGGCGTGCGCCGCAGCGGCACTACTGTGGAGTACCTGCCGCCGCTGCGGGCTGGCTGCCGTCGCCCGCTCGGGGGGCGCGACCCTCCTCGCTCCTGCTGCCGACCGGCCAGCCGACTATCCACGACCGTTGCAGCCCACGCTGTTGCCAGTGCCGTTGGGAACGCTGCCAGTGCCGTTGGGAACGCTGCCAGTGCCGTTGAGAACGCTGCCGGTGCCGTTGGGAACGCTGCCAATGCCGTTGGGAACGCTGCCGGTGCCGTTGGGCGCATCGTCAGCACCGTTGAATAAGTTGATGGCGCATTTGGATATGGCGCCGTTTCGTACGCTGCCGTTGAGCACGCCGCCGCTGACGCCGGACCCGGCCTGCGGCGGCGCCACCTCCGTGCCGACGTCCCGCTCCTGCCAGGCGCGTCGGCTGCGCTCGGGCAGCCGGAACTCCAGCGCCATGGAGCTGAGAGGCTGAAGGCCCACGCAGGCACGCAGCACATTCTCCAGCGCGCTGCGCTGCTTAGCCAGCGCGTTGACGACAGGCGCGCCGGGCGGCACCAGCGGCGCCTTGCAAAGGTAGCTGAGCACTGAGAGCACGCTGTGGAAGCCGTGGTACTCCTCCTCGTCCGCCGCCCTGCCAAGGACGAGCGTCAGACCCGAGGCGAGCGGCCGGCGGCGAGGTGGGGTTCATCTGGGTTACGGCAGACCACTTCCGCCCTCGTTCGAACTCGTTACTGCGACGTATTTGACAGCGCAAGGCGGGGAGAGGCGGAGGGGATGGGGGAGGGGGGGGGGGGGGTGAGGGACTTGGCGCGGCGCCTTCAATGAACGACAAGCCGGAGCGAATATAAGAGACAAAGGGATCGCCCTGTACGTGGTGTACCACGTTAGTTTCATTGACTTTCAGCATGTCCTATTATTGAAGAGTCACACCTGACCAAACAAAGTTGTATCAGTTCTTTCCATTCCCACAAAGCAGTTAAACACGTACCTGCGAAGTTTGTAAATGGTAAAGTGAATATCATGTAAATATTATGTAAACCCAAGTCAAGCTGATCCAAGTGAAAAGGCGCAGTCATTTATCTCCCCGAGGTCAAATAAGGTCATTCGATGACGTTGGATGACTTTTGCAAAATTGCAGCTACGATTTCCGTGCACGTCGGCGAGGTTGGTACAGTGCGAAAAGTCTATCAACAAGTGGTACGCGATTTTGAAGAGGACCTGATGCAGCCTTAACCTTGAAAGACCCATGCACTACCCACCATCAACGCTTTCCAACCACTTTGGCTGATGATTCCACAGGTTCTGAGGGCTGGTTTCGACCCGTGCTGAGCATTAAATCTGACCTCGTCTGAACCGCAAGCGGCCTTAACAAAGACACGATTTTTTATGACGTCCGTGATGATACTACTCTATGCCTACAGCTTAGAGCATAAGATGTATTGCGCACCGAACCACAGACACCAGCATTTGGGTCCGGGATACATGTGCCTCGCTAGGTTCGGGATACATGTACCTCGCTAGGTCCGGGACACATTTACCTCGCAAGATCCGGGATACATGTACCTCGCTAGGTCCGGGATACATTTACCTCGCTAGGTCCGGGATACATATACCTCGCTAGGTCCGGGACACATTTACCTCGCAAGATCCGGGATACATGTACCTCGCTAGGTCCGGGACACATTGATCTCGCAAGATCCGGAATACATGCACCTCCCTAGGTCCGGGACACATTTACCTCGCAAGATCCGGGATACATGTACCTCGCTAGGTTCGGGACACATGTACCTCGTTAGGTCCGGAACATGTCTACCTTGCAAGATCCCAGTGATGTATAATCTCCAGAAGCCAAGCAGGAGGACAAAACCAACGTCCTCGTGCGCGGAGGCTTATAACCAAATACCCATCGGTCGGTGTCTGTCTCACCTTCCACGCGCAGAAACACCCCGCATGAACGAAGACAGCGCGTGCCATGCGTGACGTCACCGCTCGCGATGATGTCACCCCGCGGCTGCCGGCGGTGCAGCGCCGCCTCACCTGAACTGAATGCGCTGGAACAGCTCGGTGAGGATGGCCAGGTCGAGAATGAGCGGCGCCGCCAGCAGCGAGTCCTCGCACGTGTTGTGCAGCACCATCGTGTTATGGCCGCCGCACATGATCTCTGCACGGAGAGGCGGACGGTCAGAGCGGGACACCGCGCGGCACGGGGCGGCACGCTCGGCACGAGCCGGCGCGGCGGCGCGGCGGGACGCAGCGGGCGCGTGGAGACGGCGCGGCTCGGGTCCGGAGGATCGCCGGGGCTGTGCCGAGCCAATTGAAAAAGCGGTGTGTGGAGGCGGACCGCGCGATATAAGGCTGACACGTTTTCGGCTCAAACACGCACGCTGACTTCGCATTTCGGCCACCAGGTTTGCAGGCAAGCGGTGCGGCCGGCGAGGGACGCGACCCAACCCTTGACCTGCGCAGTCGAGCGTGTTCTCGCCTTTCATGGTCAAGTGATGGGTCACGTGACTTATCATTGGTTGCTGGTGGCAGCTACTCTGACAGCAATGACAAAACGGAACACAGCTCAAAAATCGCAGCAGTGTTACTGAACGCTGTTACATCGTGCCTGCTTACATTGGACCACAACGGTGGGGCTGTCGGGGGGCGTCCTGACGCGTGCAGCCATCACATAGCCCTGGTACACTCGCACTCCGAAGCACAGACTGCCCACCTGGCCAACACCGCATCCAGTGACATCCTCTCGCCCCTCCCGCTAATGGAACCCCTTCCCCATCCGACACCGCATCCAGTGGCATCCTCTCGCTAATGGGACCCCTTCCCAAACCGACACGCGTTCAGCGGGCCTCAGAGGCCCCTCCCACACATACAGAGGGTCCCACAGTCAGGGGGCTTCCGCCGGTACGTTGCGAGAAGATATGCTGAGCGGTTGGTACGTTGCCAGGCCGCCATCCCGAGCAGCCGTATGCGAGCCGACAGCCCGCCGCCCGCCACAGCACCTGAGGTGTACTCGTCCATGGCCCGCTTGGAGTCGCCGACGTAGGGCACGTATTTGATGACGACGCAGTGGTCGGGGCCGCGGCCGTCGCCGTACAGCAGGCCGTTGGAGGCCACCATGTCGTCCACGACGCTCGACTTGGACACCTGCCGCACGCGCTTTTTGTTTTGAGGGAAGGCGACGCGTGCCGGCGCTCCTTTAAGGAGCGTCAGCGACAGCGGAGGCCGTATTTGGTAGCCATGGGTCGTGGCGCGACTGGGATTCGAACCCGGCCCCCACGTGGGAGCTGCAGGCGGTAATCAACTCGACTATTACACCTCCCCTCCCCCACCCCCTACCGTACAAAGACAGGCCTAGGTGATTATGTGCGGTCCTGCGGCGGCGCGGGGCCCTGAATCAACACAATGGCCACATGAGCGGACAAAGGAAGCGGCGGTCGTACACAATGTCGGAATTTGAAGTAATAAAACACTGGCAACACACCATCATCGGTTGCATCGTTGAGGATGCCCACAGCCGCTGTTTTAGCCCGAGGAATACGTTTTCCGAATAGTCTCAAAAACTGGTCGAGCAGCACCTAGCAATTGCACGTAGTCCCGTTCCGTTACCAATAGCAGCTCAAGCAAAATGAGAAACCGGACCGAATCAACCCACTAACTTTGCTCGGAAATGAGATCCGAACTCTTCGTATGGGCTATGTGAGATCCCGTTAGGACCATATCAGGATAACACATGGTACGGATCTGGTACGGATCTGGTACAGATCTGGTAGGGATCCGGCCAGCAGCGTCGGCTGCGGCGAGCCCACCTCCTTGCTGCGGAACTGCTGCGGCGACGACAGGTTCCTGCCGTCGTTGTTGCCCAGGTGGTTATAGCTGACAATAGACACGGGCTTGATGCCGGCCGACACCAGGAAGTCCACCAGCACCGACTTCACCTGCGGCAGGCGGCGACGGAGCGTCACGGGGGGGGGGGGGGGGGGGGCAGACCGGACAGCTCCAGCGGGCAGACGCCGCCCCAGCTCCGGTGCCCCGTGGGCAGACGCCGCGGTCAGCTGGCTAGCGGGCACGTCCACTGCGCCGGCCGTGGCGACGGACTGACCAGTCTGGAGTTCATCACTGAACCCACCCAGACGGTGACACCGAAGCAACGAGGCAAGAGACGCGCATTTTGAGGACACTGGGGTAGCTCTCGCCCACGGGCAGCACATGCAACCACATCTGAATATCCTCGTGAGTACATGGAGACATACGCAGGCACGTGCCCACCGCTCTTATTCGCGGACACTTCCACCACACTGAACAGTTACCGAGCAACTGGACAACACGCTGGACAGTTACGTAGTTACCGAGCCAATAGCGCGACAGTTAGCCGATAGTGCAACAGTTGGCCGATGGTGCAACAGTTAGCCGATAGTGCAACAGTTGGCCGATGGTGCAACAGTTAGCCGATAGTGCGATAGTTAGCCGTTAGCACCGGGCCGACAGTTACGTAATTACCGATAGATACAGGGCAGCTTCCACCACACTGGACAGTTACCGAGCTCCTACCCTGTCGCCACTTCCAGTTCACCATCTCCCCTTCCCCGCCCTCTCCACCGCCACCGCACCTTGGTCTGGCCGGACTTGAAGTCGTCACCTCCAACGTAGACGCCCGCGCTCTCGGCCATCTGCAGCAGGCCCGGCACGAACGTGTTCTGCGGGGAGCCGTTGATGAAGGCGCAGCCCTCCAGCACGCTGGCCATGCCGTAGAGGGTGCTGGGCGACACCTCGGCGGCGCCGGCCGCCACGCTGGCCTCCAGTTGCGCCTGCGTCACGTTCAGGCCCTCGCGCACCTCGCAGAAGCGCTCCGTGTTGGCCGTCCACAGGACGATCACCTTGTCGACGGCGGCGCTGGCGCGGAACTGCCGGATGTCGGCCCGCAGCCTGCTCCAGCTGCTGCTGCTTGGTGCCTGGCGGGCCGGGCGGCAGGTCACTGGCAGGTCAGGTCAGGTCAGGTTCGATTGGGCCAAGTTCGATTAGGTCAGGTCAGGTTCGACCAGGCCAGGTCAGCTTCGGTCGTCAGGTTTGATCAGGTTGCGCCAGGTTTGGTCATGCTAGGTCAGGTTCGGTTAGGCCAGGCTCGATCAGACCAGGATCCATCAGATCAAGTCAGATCAGGTTCGACTAGGTCAGGTCACCCTCTAGGTCAGGACCCCTCTGGGTCACAGGGTGCTCCGTCGAGCCGCTGAGCGGACGTAGCCCCTCCTGGCGCAGCAGTGTCAAATGGGGGAGGGGGAGGGGGGCAGAGGCCACTCCGATCGCGAGCTCGGCTGCTGTCGCCGGCGGCGCTGGCCTTCGATGACCTGCGCTGACCTTTGATGACGTTGTCGGCGCGCTCCGCCTGGTTGGCCGCAATGAAGTCCGGGTCATAGACCCCCGGCCGGGGCCGCAGCTGGGCCAGGTGAGGGCGCAGCTTGTCCTGCAGGGACACGTCCAGCACCTGCGCCCGCGTCATCGCCTCCGACAGGGGCGCGGATGAGATGTCCCATCCTGGCGGAAAGGCCGGCAACTGCAAGTTATGACAGCCGCCGCTGCACCTTGAACTGCAGATCAGTGATGAGGGCATGTTGTGAGCAATGTCTTGGTTTAATTTCTTCGTATGATACGTAGCGCGATTTAAAATCGCCCTAGTGAAAAAACTTGCAAACGCTTACAATCCCACGAAATGATCTCTCAGCACCAGCGAAATTTGGCTAACAAATAGCCATTGGCTTCGTCTTATGACCAGAAGAAGGTTTCAGAATCAAATTGACCAGAAAAACATTTACGTGCCGGGCTCATTCAGCTACCGCACATAAAAATTACGTCCTTACGCTAAGAGGATTGTCGATTACTCCTTCACAACCGCGCCATACAACTTCACCCCCCCCCCCCCCCTCCCTCCCCCAATAGACGGGTGGAACGTCTCTCTGAACCCTTTAATAAGCGTCACATTTTACCAGAGTTTGTAACCTTTCAGGCGCCAACCACCACTCAGTCCAACACGCAGCAGACCAGTACGGGGTCAGCAGACCATGCCAGACCACGGCACGGGGTCAGCCCTGCGTGCGTCATGCGGGTGTGTGCGGCACACGCATGACCACGTGACGCTTCGTGACGACGCGACCCCCCCCCCCGTGACGCCTCCGGGTGTGTACGGGTGTGTCAGGAGAAAGACATGAGCGGCGGCAGGAGAGCTCTCGGAACGCACGCCGCCGGCGACACCTGGAGCCGCCCGGAGCGATCGGGGCGACATCTGTGATCTGCGAGCGAACCCGCGCCCGACCAGCACGGACACGATCTTTCGAGAAGGCCTGCGCGCTCTGGGGATGTTAACAGGAGCGACCGTTCCTCCGACAACGCCAATCGTCTAACAGATCCATACACAACGGGCTGGCAACACTGCCGTCTGTATATTCAGCGCCTTCACACGGCAGGCCCCTGCACCAGGCACAGGGCCGGGCGCTCAGCCTCACCGTCGAACACGATGTCGTTGGGGTGCACCATGGGCAGCAGGCTGCTGAAGGGCACGTGGTGTCCGGCGCCCAGCTCGATGGTGGACGCCTGGGTGAGCGAGCCGTAGTAGTTGGCCGCCTGCTCGCCCGTCTTGGTTCGCCAGGTGAGGCCCAGCCGGTTGGCTGTTGGCGGAGTTCGGATCAGTCGACACGCTAGTCTGGGGCTGGCTCGCTCAGCCTCGCCCAGCTGAGCTGTCCCTCGCTGGCGTCAGCAGGAGGCGACGGTCTCCTGGCTGACGTCAGCGAGGAGTCAGCTGTCTCCTCACTGACGTCAGCAGGGGCCGGATATCTTCTCGCTAACGTCAGCGAGAGGCCAGCTGTCTCCTCACTGATGTCAGTCAGCCCAGCGGTCTCTGCTGACGTCAGCGAGAGGCAGCGGCACGGCCAGTCCATGCCACGGACGGAGCGGCTGAGTGTGGTATTCATCGGACCGGCTAGCACATGCTGATAGCAAATGACGAGCAACGACGCCAACGGGCGCCAACGACGCCGCAAGGCCGAGGTCACGAGAACATACGCAGTGCCTGCAGGGTCACAAGGTCTCAAGGTCTGAAGTTCTCAAAATTTCCCCGTCAGGTCTCGCAGGTGACGTAAGCGATTAGCAGCTCTGAGAACGCTCAGAAGGCTCCACCGCTCGGTCGTGTGGATCCAAAGCCGCCAAAGATTTCAAGACCAACTCGTCCACTCCGACCGAACCTCCACCCGCGACCGACAGGTGCGTTAAAAGTAGCGTCCCTTCCATGTCCTGGAGAAAATTTCAGAAAATTACCAGATAAAATCTTCCAGAAATACCGGATAATACCGGAAATCTAACAGAAAGTAACGTAGGATCCAAAAAAGTTATTTCAGTCACTTTCTGCTAAACCAGATCATAAAGTTGCCAGTTAAGCATTTCTGAACATCATTGTCCGTGGGAGAACAAGGCAGGAAATAAAGCTAACCTTTCTCCACGAAGCTAAGAGTAAACATCAGCGGCCTTGGGGAAAGGAGACCTTTTCCCCCGCCAAAAATTTCCCGCATGCAATGACTGCAGCGATCAGCAGGAGTCGGGGTAGGGGTGGGGTGGGGGGGGGGGGGGGCAAGGTTCACTCCGCACGGTGTCGATGATTCAGTCCCGACTGGCCTAAGACTGACCGCAGACGGTTCAGCATAGATTCACTCCAGACAGCGAGAACCACTCAGCACAGACTCACCCCAGACGGCGGCGGTGACAGTGGAGCCGTTGTTGCCTCCCCAGCCCACCAGCATCAGCCCCAGCCGCGGCACCGCCCGGGCCGTCCGGAAGTGGCATGACACCGTCACGGGCCGCACCTGGACACAGCGGGGCGCGGGCTGTGAACACCGGAGAACAAGGCCACCGCCCCCGCCCGTCGGGGTCGCGGTCTCAGGTCGCGTTGGGACGCAACACAGGACGAGGGCGGGTCGGGTCGAGAACGAGTCAGGTCGGGAATGAGCCAGGGCCGAGAACGGTTCACGGCGAGAACGGTTCAGGTTGAGGACGGTTCAGGTCGAGAACGGGTAAGGTCGAGAACGGGTCAGGACGAGAACGGGTCAGGACGTTCAGATGCCGCTCAGGATGACCGCCTGTACCCACGTGGAACGAGCGGAAACATGACCCAGCTCGACAAGGTCGGACGTCACGTTAACAGGTCATTTTTTACCTCTTGGGAATGAGCCAAATTTTGACCCGGTTGTCCTGGTAGAAATTCAACATTTTGTATCTCCAGGAAGACTTGCAGGTCCAGCGTAAACGCATGCAGTTGTCACTACTCTGCATGCCTGATGATCGATCTGGAGATCGTTCCGGACTGTTCGCAACCAGTCGTTGGAGGCGCATGGCTGTGTGAGCGCGTAACCGAAGGCGTGCTCCGGCGCGACACCGCCGCGAGCAAGCCACGCATCGCCTCACCTTCAGGACATTGTTCTCCGAGACGACAGACGTGGTGCTGTACTCGTACTCCGCCTCGATGCTCTCCGGCGTGTACCGCACCTTATCGCTGTCCACCTCGACCTGAGCCATCCTGCAAAGGAGCGCAAACGCTGAATATAGCCGCAACAGTGTCTGCAGCACATCGAGCGTTATTACACGGGAGGTAGGAACATTATTAAAAAGGACCGGGGCGTATTTTCGTAAAATGAGCTGCGGTAGGTCGAGGTCGAGGGGTGAAAAATGAAGGTCAAGGAGTGAAAAATGACGCCACCTACCTGTGCAATACGCCAAACAACGGGTTTCTCGTCGGCCCTGGCCACTTTCCTCTCAAATCGCGGGGAGGGGCTGAAGCCCCCAACTCAATAGGAAACTACACCGCTGAGGAAGAGTAACACAATACAGTGTTCCACTATGTAAGCACGCAGGACCCGCTTGTCGTCGTCTCCACGGCCGGGCTGCCAGCATCGACGCGTCGACCGTCTAGACTTCCAGCGCGCGCAGCCAGCCTCTCGAAACTTCTAGCCGTTCGACCAATCGGCGATCAACAGCTGGCGTCTATACGCCCGGCAGCTAGCACTCGTTCAGTCCCCGAGGGACAACGCTACTTCGCCGCTATCAATGCAGCCAAGACTACGAAAGCAAAAGGCTACGCCGATGTGACGTCATCATGGGGCTATTTTGGCTGCCGTAATATGGTTTTTGGTTGGTACTACGGAAGGGTTGGTAGGCATTAGTCGCATGAGTAAAAACGGACATTTCATCGATGAACTGGGTGGAAATCCCATTTTCCCCCTTTATTTTAATGTTACGTGAATAGATATTGTACATTTTGCATTTCAAACCTTCTAAAGGCAAATCAATACTAGGACCTGTTTCCCAAAAAACAGATCCTACTAAACCGTGTTGTAAAAAAAACTCCAAACTTAACTCTAGAGTCCAGTACCTGCGCCATATTCGTGGGGCCAACGCGCCTGAAATGTTGCATGTAATGCGCTTGTGTTAAAGAAATACTGACGTGTAGATAAGTAAGTATCACATTCAATACCTACATTAAGTTCATTAATGGGCAATGAGTGCTCATGTCTACGCACTGCGGTACCCAAATGGAGTGAAATGCGAGAATAAGGTAATGTGAGGAGGGCAGGTGGCAAAAATTTCGCTGTTGCTGTGCTATGATCTTCCTAGGTGGTGAACCTGCAGATCCATAATGGTGGATGGGTTAGATAAAAATGGTGCACAGATAATGATATCCCGACCGCCCTTATGCAAAGGACCGGGGGGCATTTTCGTAAAATGAACTGCGGGTGGTCGGGGTCGAGGAGTGAAAAATGACGGGCGATGAGTGAAAAATGGCGCAACCTACCTGTAAAATACGCCAAACAACGGGTTTCTCGTAGGCCTTGGCCGCTTTCTTCTCAAATTGCGGGGAGGGGCTAAAGCCCCCCAACTCAATAGGAAACTACACCGCTGAGAAAGAGTAACACAATACAGTGCTCCACTATGTCAGCGCGCAGGACCCGCTCGTCGTCTCCACGGCCGGGCTGCCAGCATCGACGCGTCGCCCGCCTAGACTTCCAGCGCGCGCAGCCAGCCTCTCGAAACTTCTAGCCGTCCGACCAATCGGCGATCAACAGTTGGCGCCTATACGCCCGACAGCCAGCACTCGCCCACCTCTGAGTAGGGTGGCTGCCGATCACTGATTGGGGGGGGGGGGGGGGGGCTCCGTAAAACTGTCGACACGCTAAATATTGACCGACAAAATGCTGACCTTCAAATATTGGCACGCTAAATATCGACGCCCAAAATGTCGACACTCCAAAAATTGTTTCTTAAAAACATTGACAAAACGATATATTTCAACGGAAAAACTTGACACGCAAAGCTTCATAACCGTGACCATACAAAATATTGATGTTAGAAATGATATATTTAACCGTTTGGGCAGGCCTGAACATTGATGCGCCTGAACGAAAAATGGTACAGATGCGGTCAGTAAGCCCGTGCGGTATCAGAGAATATGGTTATGATGCATCTCCAGCTGAATTACTTGAAAATCATGAAAAGGGCTCAACACGCCGATTTTAAAATATATATGGTAAGAAAAAGTCTCCAAATGAGCGCAGCGATTCACATCACAGCAGTTTGGTTTTTGACTCTGACGCGGGCCCAAATGGAACACGGGAATCTGTCAGCATCAGGCGTTGGTTAAGAACGCCACCGCGGTTTCTGATGGTTACGGCACTGGGGAATGGGTCCCAGGGCAAGCATGTGCTCCTATAGGCGACTCCACCCTACGAACAGTCATGCCACAGCCTTAGGCGGAATGCCAGGTCTCCATGTGCGCCATGCCACGGCTCTGCGGGGCTTATTTCAGGTCTAAAGGCGGCGCACCACGCATCGGTGGGATGCGTCTCAGGCGCATACGGGCGGCACGCCAGGCCCTTATGGGCAGCATACCAGGTCTCTGCAGGCGGAACCAGAAACCAGGTACCACAATTTTTAGGCGTTGGGTCTAAGCTATGCATTGATTTAGGCGTTTTTCCTCAAAACTGCCCCAACGAGTTAAGCTCAGACGTAGGCAGACGTGGTGCTGCACTTGTACTCTGTCTCAATGCTCTGCGGTGTGTACCGCACCTTATCGCTGTACACCCCGACCTGAGCCATCCTGGAAAGGACGAGCACCAGTGCTGACAGCTACAACATAGTGCTTACAGTAAATCGAACATCATATCACGTAACGAAGGAGCGTTATAAAAAAGGGCCGGCGTTAGTATCGCAGAGCGAGTTGGGGATCAGGGTAGGGCTGAGTGAGAAATGACGCATTCTACCCGTAAAAAGCAAGAAAAGGGTTTCTCGTCGGACTTGGCCCCCTTTCTCCTCAAACTGTGGGAGAAAGGCTGAAGCCCTCCAACTGCATAGAAAACTACGCCGCTGAGAAAGGGGAGACACAACATCGGCCCACAGAACCCGCCCGCCGCCGCCTCCACAGCCGGGCTGCCAGCATCGACGCGTCGCCCGCCTAGACTTCCAGCGCGCGCAGCCAGCCTCTCGAAGCTTCCAGCCATTCGACCAATCGGCGATCAACAACTGGCGCCCGTAGGCCCGGCAGCCAGCACTCGCCCCACCTCTGAGCAGGGTGGCAGCCCATCACTGATGGGGGGGGGGGGGGGGGGTGCTGGTAGTGTAGTGGTTAACCACCACACCACTCGCCGGTAGTGTAGTGGTTAACGCGTCTGCGATGGCCACTGCACATCTGGCGACGCCATATAGCCTCAGCAGCTGGGTGCGTCGTAAAGCCCCAAAAACATGACATGACACATCACTGATGGGGGGGGGGGGCTGATTCGGGGATCCCAGCCAAACCGTCGCCACGCAAAATATTTACCCACAAAATGCCGACCTCCAAATATCGGCGTGCGAAATATCGACTCTTAAAATATCGGCACTCGCAAAATTGCCTGTACAAAACATGGACAAAACAGACTATTTCAACGGAAAATATCGTCACGCGAGGCGTCATAATCTTAAACGTGCAAAAAAATGATGTTGCAACTTAAAACAGTTGAATATAAATATTCAGCTGTTTGAGCATGTGTGAACATCGACACGCCTGATAAAAAAGTTGGGATAGATATGGTCAGTAAAAAAGTGATACCGAATAACAGCTTTATGGTTCATTTCGAGTTAACTAATTTAAAAACCACGCAAAACGTTCAACAGATCAAATTCATACACATAGCAAGAAAAAGTCTACAAATGAGCGCAACGATTCCTACGGTAGCAGTTCGGTTTTGGTTAACGCGCGGGTAAAACGAAACAAGGGAATCTGTTAGCACCTGGCATTCTATCAGTAAAGCTCCACACTATGAACGGCTATACAATAGCCTCAGGCGGTTTACCAGGTCTCCACGAGCGTCATACCAAGCCTTTGCCGGGCCATTCCGGGTCTGAAGGCGGCATGCCACGCATCGGTGGGATGCATATCAGGTCTATATGGGTTGTATGCCAGGTCTTATGGGCGGCATACCACACAGAAATGAGCGATTTTTTTCGAAAAATATAAATGAATTTCGAAAAATTCGAAATTCATACCACACCGGAAATTCTTGGGCGTCGGGTCTTAGCTATTTATTAGTTATACGTTTTCCCCCGAACCTGCCCCAACGAATTTAGTTCAGCCGTAGACAGGCGTGGTGCTGTACTCTCTCTCGTACTCGTAATCTGCCTCAACGCTCTGCGGCGTGCACCGCACCTTATCGCCGTCCAACTCGACCTGAGCCACCCTGCAGAGGAGCACCAGAACCGAATGTAGCCACAACAGTGTTTGCAGCACATCAAGCTTTATAGTACTTAACGTGGGAACATTTAAAAAAGACCGGGGCGTGGTTTCACAAAACGAGTCGGGGAAACGGTGTAAGGCTGAGGAGTGAAAAACGACACAATTTACCGGTAAAAAACGCCAAAGACGGGTTTTAGTCGGGCTTGGCTTACTCTCTTCTCTAATTGTGGGGAGGGACTGGTACCTCGTAAATGAATAGAAAACTACACCGCTGGGAAAGGGTAGCACAATACAGTGTTCCCCTACATAGGCGCGCAGAACCCGCCCGCTGTCGGCTCCACGGACGGGCCGCCAGGATCGACGCGTCGGCTGTCCAGACTCTCAGCGCGCGCAGCCAGCCTCTCGAACCTTCTGGTCGTCCGACCAATCGGCAATCGACAGCTGGGCGTCCATCATGCATGCATATGATGACCCTGGCATGACTTATCGCAGGTGGCACGAGGCATACGTGCAGCGAATTTCACAAAGATGGGAGTCACATCTCATTAAGAAAACAACAGCTGAAAGCCCAAGTTATTGCATCATAGGTTGCAAAATTTTCTGCATGGCATAAAAAACATGTCACGTCTTCTATGTGCTTAATTCCGCTCGTCTACCTTGGATTTGGAACAGTCAACATCTGTTCACGCCCATGGGAATTTATGCAATCGATTTAAAATCAGGCGGCACATGTCCCGGGGCCGCCACGTCAGAACGTCGCTGCAGGCAGCTGTCGACCCTTGGAGCGCATATTTCCAGTGACTTTACTGGGT